CGAAACCTATTCCAACGTATTTTATTGTATCGTTCCATTTCGTGACGACTTTCTTTACAGGGGGTACGCAACGCAAACATCTGCCAATCTTTAAAAAAATATATAAAAGTTAAAAAGCGATTGGATTAAAATGATGGCGAAGCACTCTGCATATTAAACTGATATTTAGGAGAGGGAGCAGACCACACACTTTAATAATTTCTGAGAACCTTTGAATGGTAGCCAATCAACTAAGGTGTAACAGTGCTTTTTCAGACATGAACAATTTAACCAAATTTATATCACATTTGAGCTATACCGAAATGGTTTATGGTCTGCAATTTGCAACGACTGAAGTGCGGTGGTGTTTTGACAACCGCACCCCCAATATTTCACGACGTTTTCTGGAAGGTTTATACATGCACGATTATCGTGCTGTGGGGTTGATGCGCTAGGGGTTGATTAAAGTAATTTGGACCTTCCTAGCTTGAAGAATGTTGAAAAAATCATGACAATGTTTTATAAAACTACAGACTATATGGCATACTCACCATTAAAGGCAACAAAATCCTGATCATAATATCCAACAACACTTGGCCAACATTAAGACGAACATGTTGTAAGGTTGGTACTGACCAAGCCAACATAGGAGGGATGATAAATACAGATATAATCACGCATAAAATTGAAAGCAAGATACTCAAACCTCGGTGACCGTTTGCTGCTGTTACCTACAATGAATATATACAGTAGAAACCAATATATTTAGCGTATTTTCTAACCATACGTTACTCGTATAACACTTCATATATTTGCCCCTGAAACTGGCAGGAATTGTGCAGCTTCTCCTAATTTAATTTTCTAATTAACCCTAGTTTTCATATGGTCGTAACGGTCGTAAAGATTGAGTCACGATCTTTCTCATCAGCCGAAATCAACATTTTAGAGCTGAAAATACGCGGAGTGATTATAACTAGGGAATACTTATGATTTATATGTGGTTTACAGGTATAAACTATTATAAACTGGTCATTGAGAAAGATCGTGCATGATTCTATTTTTACGACCATTACGACCATATGGAAACCAGGCTTTACCCTTTGAGTTTATGAATTTAGGAAAAAAATTTGAAAAATCTGAATGTTCGAATACCATGAACAATTGGTAGAAAAAGGATAGAGGGATTAAAAATGTAAAACACAGTTTGATAATCAAGTTTTTTTCTTGTTACAAAATACGTATCAACTTTACTGCACCTTTATTTAAGAATATCTAAATGTAGCGTACTTTATACAATAATGAACCCGTTCTCACCACCCGTTCTCGGTGAGAACCTTTTTTATGTTTCATGTCAACATACAGTATACTAAGGGGCCGATTACATGGAGCATTTTCAACCCCGGGGTTGAACTCAGCCATGTTTACCGGGTTGAAATTTCAGCCCTGTCTGTAATACAAAACTCTATCAAAATCAAACGCACGATTACATGACAAAATTTTCAACCCAGGGCTGAGTTCAACCTCGGGGTTGAAATTTCAACCCTGCTTCAGCTAGCAGGGTTGAAATTTCAACCCCGGGGTTGAACTCAGCCATGGGTTGAAAATTTTGTCATGTAATCCTTTCAACCCAGGGCTGAAATTATCATGAGTTATTCGAGCATGCGTGGTAGCGACTAATTATTACAAGAAAACAAAATAAAGGCTTTTTACTTCCGCGAATCGATGCCGAGAACGTATAGTATAACGTTTTAAGCCCGGGGTTGAAATCGTCCATGTAATCGCAAAAAATTTCAACCCGTTTAACAGGGCTGAGTTCAACCCCGGGGTTGAGAATGCTCCATGTAATCGGCCCCTTAGTTTAATTCTCTCTTCTTTCGCCGCCTTCGTCTTTTCGCGCCCGCGGACCTTAATTGTCAGCGATCATATATACTTCGTGAAACGTCATGTAGAGTGATAGTATAATGACTCCAAGCAGTTTAAAATGTTTACAGAATTTCGAGAGAAGAAATAATCGATTATCAAGGGATTCAAGTAGGTTTTTAAAAATAAATACAATATTATTTCAATCATAACTCATAGTGGGCCCCCCTGTGGCCGACCCTATTATTTTTTCAACGTGATTGACCATGCGACCCTATTTTCTCGGGTTGCGGGCTGCTGCCAAAATGGCGTCTGTTGTCACACTATTAAATTATTGAAAAACCATAAAAAAAGTATTCAAAAAAAATTATTTCCGACTTACCGACCCTAATTTTTTCGCGATTTGAAACCGGAACCACAGGTATTTTTTTACGCCTTGGTGATAGGTGGCAACGTTAATACGTGATCCGGAACGGGAAATTCGCATATATACTGTATTATAGGCCTCCTCAGCTACGTGAATTATATTTCATCGTCTGTATGGCTTACATACGTGACTAAACTAAATAAAGAAAGAAGAAGGCATTTGAAATATTTTTATTTGGTATTATGTATAGGTTGATGAGACAGGAGTAGAGAAAAAAGATATCGAATTAGTAGTGCAACAGGCAAACGTATCAAGATCAAAGGTAAATATATTAACAGAAAAACGCCAAATGTTCCTTGCAAAATTATATCTTATATATGGGTTATAATGAAGACCAATTATTTGTCAATACGTTTACTTTTAGGCTGTAAAAGCTTTGAAAAACAACGGTAACGACATCGTAAATGCTATAATGGTTAGTATCAAAACAAGTCTTCGAACATATTTCTTAATTATGTTTTTGTGCCAATGCCCAAGGTATTGCGACGAGTTGTAACTGCAATCAGAATGTTCATTCCTCCAGCTTGTCTTTAAATGTTTATATTTGTATTTATTAGGAGCTGACAATGTGATGACCTTGTTAGTTGCGCCGTTGCGGTGCGACTGGACACGAGCAACCGCGGAGATCCTCGGCGACGTACTGGTTCAAAATTCATATTCTGGAAAAATGGACTGAAACGTTGTAAACATTATATTAGGAAATCAGATCGTCTGTAAATTTAGAATCATAAAATGCTACATTGTTTTTCGTAAGAAAATGTTTGGTTTTCGTTTGAATTGTTCAGTTGTGTTGGATGTGACGTCTCTGGTTGGTAATCGTGTTATATAGAAGAATACTGTAGAACTTGGTCCTGGAGTCATTGTACTAATAGACAGGTTCAGATTTGACTTCCACTACCACTACCGCTACCTTAAATGTGTTACGCATGCGCAGTAACTGCAAGTGCGTGAGGAAATCGTCGCATGTTTTTGTTTTGGGACCGTAACAAAGCGATTTATGGTCGTCGGGAGAAGTCTAATCTGAACAGGTCTAAACAGTCCGTCGCGACCGCCAGGGCCGCCGAGAGGGGGAGAGGGGGCAAATTGCCCCGAGGTTCTGGGGGCCCCTGAAAAATATTTCTTGGGCCCCAGTCTTTTTTATGTGTTAAATATTTCCGCGCAAAGGACAAGATATCTGTTTTCTTGGGCTAAGTACCGAAATTTGGCATAAAAAAATGAGATAAAGTTCCTCGAAAGCAATAGCAACGTACTGGTACGGAAAAACTTTTTACCCCTAAAATGGTACAGACCGAAACTTTTTTTGGGGGGGAGGGGGGAGGTTGTTCTCCGGTCACACATGTGGCCTTCAGCCGTTCCTATCCCCATCTAAGGGACCGGTCATTATTTATGGTGGGGGGTGGCACCGAAGAGAAATGTTTTTCTTGGCAAAAATTTTGCTGACCCAACCATTAAAAAGACAAAAATTTGATTACCCAACCTCAAATATCAATTAAAAAATAATTACCCACCCTGGCCAAAAACGTTACAAAAAGATACCATTCAATTGTCACACATGTCCTTTACCACTTCTGTGACATGAGTTTGATAACGGCTTGTGAACTTTTCTGCAGTCTAAAGTTTCATGTTGTCTGCACATGTACTTTCTTTGAAAACACCATTTCTTTTGTCAAAATGATCAAGATAGTGACTCTGATTGATTCATATATTGTATTGACAAATGACTGTTGACATTGCTTTTCAGTCAACAATATTTTGACAGTGAGTCACGTTTTTGAAATGACAATAAATTTTTATTACCCAACCCTTGAGTTGTTTTGTTTTTCATTTACCCAACCTTTTACTTACTCAAAATTTTGTTTACCCAACCTTTTTCTCTTCGGTGCCACCCCCGCCATAAATAATGACCGGTCCCTAATATATTATCTCACAGAAAGGTCCCTTTTCAAAAAATGCCCCCCCCCCCACGGGAAAATCCTTAAAAAAGGCCCTACATGAAAGCGCTCGAATAGAAGGAGTATTTCACTCACATTGACTCTAAGCAAATTCTGAAGAGTTAAGAAGATATTCATGTGATTGGTCTTAAATGATGAACATTGAACGAGAAACAAATTTGTGCAGGAAACATAGCCATAGGGGATATAACCTTCATGTGCAGTTCCCTTTAGAGAATTGTCTAGAAGTATAAACGTTTGCATTCGGTTCATGTTGGCAAAAAGGCAGCACTTTCCTTGCGATATAGTCTCCTACGCAGCCTGTTCGCGGGTCCGAGGTTTTGAACCTCGGACCCGCGAACAGGCTGCGTAGGAGACAACTTGCGATAGTAACTCCTAGTTCGTTTATATAGTCCCAAGCAAAACATTGTGAAATTTCACGCTCAAAAGCAAATTGGAAAAAGTCACGTGATCGATATCTTGAAGATATGGAAATATCTCGCTGTGTATTTTTCAGTATGCCCTCTCACTCTACTATATAATAAAAAATATATACAAAATTTGCGAACTTCACAGGGCTATATTTTCTTCATTTAGCAACCAGTCTTTGCAGATTTACTCATTCTAAGACGCTCTTTCAAGCTGTGGTGTTGGATTTCGTTCTTGCTTTGATGAAAGTTTTTAAAATCTATAGTATAGCCAATAGGAGTATAGCTAGATCACCCATACTCCATAGGCAATAGCTACTGTATACCATAGCACACTGGTCCAAATTGGAAAAAATATTTTAGAAGTTTAGTTATTACTTGAATATGGAAATTACTTGTGCTATATTATAACAGTAACCCCACTGTGGTTTTATATAGCATTTCTAAAGATGTTTTGTCTTTCATCAGTGCTCCATATGGCAGGGACAAAGGTTGTTCCCACGTAGTATTGTAATTAGAAGTAGAGCAAGAGAATTGACATTTTTATCAGAAACTCGCTTAGACACTTATAAATCTCAGAGTATAAATCCTTGAACTTTATACTTGGTAAACTATGTTTTATTAATTTCAATATTGGAAAATTTATACAGAAACTAGTGATGGGCGATACCGAGTACTCGGTATTCGATACCAGCGATACCACAAACAGCGGTATCGGTATCGATTACTGACGTGGTATCGTTCGATACTTGCACCCTTTTTTAAACGAATTGTTTAATTTCACTTCTTGGTTGAATAAATGCGAAAAATTTAAGGCAATGCAACGCGGTAAAATGGGTAAAAAGAAGAACGAACAGCCAGGTATGTATGCTAGATATTTTGGGATTATTTTAGAAACGTTTGATTGTTAAATTTGTGTGTTATTTCTCACGAAGTTGTCAGAGTCAGTTGGGACGCATTTCACTATTTCAGTACAGTGATGAACACAACACCAAAATTCGAGGCTAAATTCGATATTTATATATTCATTTTTAGATTCAAAGTGGCGACATTCCGCTGAGGCGGTAGAAAGGGGGAAAGTGAGCTATAATTGCAAGGTCTGTCTGAGTTTATTTGTGTATTTTTTCAACATATCTTAAATATTTCAGCATATTATTCTTATGAAGCCAATATTTTATATGAGCTGATTTAGTGCCTTTTCATTTCTATTTTGCTGTTTACTACTTTTACTTTGGACTATTAAAACCGAAAACCTACTGTTTTAATCTGTATATTCTCGGTTGCTGAACTATTTCCACATTTATATATATATATATATATATATACTGTATATATGCATGAGGTTTGTGTGTATTTAAACCGGGAAATTGGCAAATCAAATTGCGTAAGTGTTTTCTTTCTATTGTTTCGCTTGCCCAGGGAATCCCAGTGTTGCAAGTTTGTATAAACTTTAGGCAATTATGTGAATATTTGATTCTTAAACTGTGTTGCGTGATAAAATATGGGAACGAAATTAGGCAAACAAGAATGTAAACATGGCTAAAGCGATTTTTTTTCATCTCAATTTTAATATAACCTGTCATTAATATGCTGTAATACTGACCACATAAACTGAATTCACACGGTTTATCGCTTCAATGAGATTAATATGAAAGTATACCCTTTATTAATTCAAAAGTAATTCCATAGAGCACTTTTATTTCATAATATCACAGAACACTTATATTTAAATATTTTCTTTCTCCCATAATCCCATTTGAATCAACTTTGAAATTTGAAACACCTTGGCATATTACCAAAGACAAATAACAAGTCACAATATCAGACCTCAAATTCAATTGTCCATTTAAGGTGATTATGTGCAACTACTTTGTGCAGGCTTCATGCAACAAAGATAATGTGCAAAACTTGACGATTGTAGGGCATGTTACACTTTGCAATTTTATGTGCAATTAATGTAATGTTGCAGCAAAAATGTAAGACAATAAAAATAAATTCAGTCCCAAAAAACACAAAAGACTTGTGTAAAAATACTAAAACAATTATTCGCCTCAGGCTCGGTGATTATCAGGGAATATCCCGGATAATCACCTCACCTTCGGCATATAATTGTTAAATATCATGGTTCCTCTGGACCAGCAAAAATATGACCGCTAGTACTACTTGGCAGGTTGCAGTTGATTTGCAGGTTAATTGACTTGATGTAATGAGGCAGGCTTCCTAATGGCCCACCCCTAAATTGCCTGGGTTCTTTTCATATGAAAAAACACTGAAATATAAATAGAAGGTCCTAAGGTTTAGGATGTATACCAACTATACTATATATACAAGCAGAACTGGGTTAATTGTTGTGGCCTTGTGGGAATTCAGAATGTGTAATTGCGCAGTTGTTTTTGCAGATTTACAAACAAAATTATTAGTTCCTTACATCAGGTATGACATGCAGTGGCCATTTAATTAATTATTTTCAGCTAATCTTTCTCTTGGGATGTTTTCAGTTCAATAAAAATCTGAAACCTTGCTTGCCCCCTCCACAATAGGAAGAGTCTGGGAACTAGTAAGGCTGGCTGTCAATCTTACCTCATCACGCAGAGAACACTCTGATACCGGAATATATGATTACTCAGTGCTACTAATTTATTCACTAATTAAAAATTTGCATGCATACTGAAAGAACAGATGAAATTAAGCCATTCCCCATTTTATAATAAAACCAGTGTTCTAAATGGTTCTAAATAAATATCAATGCTGTGCTTTGGCATCCATGGGTTTGATTCTTACTTTGGAATGAAGACATTCATGGGAAAACACTCTATATCAAAAGTAGTATATTTTTTCATGTACTGAGTGGTTCTAGCCACTCACTGCGTACTCTCACAGTTCCGTATTTCGCAGTACATTAATTATTTTCAGCTAATCTTTCTCTTGGGATGTTTTCAGTTCAATAAAAATCTGAAACCTTGCTTGCCCCCTCCACAATAGGAAGAGTCTGGGAACTAGTAAGGCTGGCTGTCAATCTTACCTCATCACGCAGAGAACACTCTGATACCGGAATATATGATTACTCAGTGCTACTAATTTATTCACTAATTAAAAATTTGCATGCATACTGAAAGAACAGATGAAATTAAGCCATTCCCCATTTTATAATAAAACCAGTGTTCTAAATGGTTCTAAATAAATATCAATGCTGTGCTTTGGCATCCATGGGTTTGATTCTTACTTTGGAATGAAGACATTCATGGGAAAACACTCTATATCAAAAGTAGTATATTTTTTCATGTACTGAGTGGTTCTAGCCACTCACTGCGTACTCTCACAGTTCCGTATTTCGCAGTACATTACGGGCTACCAGATGAAATAGGAACCATACCCAAATTAATCCGGTTTCATTTGTTGATTATATGGGAATACATACAGTTAGACTACGTTCTCACAAGACGTCATGAATTCAGAACCCCCTGGTTCCATTTGTTCACAGCATATATAATGCATTGATTTTCACTTCATCGTTTATGTAAGCCTAGGTCTTTTCAGCGTTATTGAAAATGGACTAGAGTTCATATGTCCTATAGTGTGTGAAAACACAGTGAAAATGACGATTGTACGTTTTAAAAGAGGTCAGTGCTAAAATGCTATCAATTACTACAGTACTATGGAGCAGTGGATGAGTCAGCCAGCAGGTTAAATTTTTAACAAGGGTTAATACTAATCCAGCTCTGAACAATCAGTCCCAGAACGTGGAAATTAATATCACTATTCTTGATAGCTTTTTATTGTCTCATTGTAACAAAAACTGTATATACAGCAGTCAAATGACTCTGCTGCCCAGTGCTGCGTGAATGATATATTTGTGAATTTGTGGAAAAATGGTTTATTCGAACTAATTGTTATGTTTTATAGTTCTGGGGCAGCACACCTGTTAATCAGTCCAAAGGATCTGAACTAATAAAGGAAGCAATTAAAAAGTTACAGGTAAATTACACCTACTGTAAAAATGATATTTGATTTGAAAACTTTTCCCACTTTTCATAAAATGTAATTGGTCCATTTCTTGAATAGTTTTTTGTGCCATCGATTACCGGTAGTTTTCTTGAGATTGATTCTATCTTCAGTATGGTATGATTGTTTATGCTTAAGTAATGTTTACATTTTTTTGTTATTGTCGCTACTTGACATGCGCACCACGGCATGCATGCATCTTCCGGTGTGTGGAAGTACTTTGATACTCATGGATACTGCATGTAAGATACAGTACAGCCAAACGAATCTCTGTGGAGTCCCCTACTTAAGGTGGCTTTTCGACTAAAAAATGACTGTAGGGCCCCTTTAAGAATTTAGTGTTATATTATATTATATTTTATTATAATGGCAACTATTGGCAAGCATCAATTCTGGTGGAATGGCGGACTGTGATTGACCGAAAAGCGGTCCATGCGTCCATTATTTAAAATATTGGCAACTACCTGTATTGGCAAGCATCACTTATGGTGGAATGGCGGACTGTGATTGGCCAAGAAGCGGTCCATTATTTTCCCGTAATGGACCGGCGGTCCATTTTGTAAAAACAAACGCACACATTTTAAAACAAATTAAAACAGCAAAAACTAATTGAAAATTTGAAAATTATAATTTAATTTGTTATTGATAACATCTGCAAATGGTTTTAAGTGGAAACGAAGGAATACATTGGTAATTTTTGTTTTCTTTGACCAAATGTGTACCACGCTATTAATATGCATTTCAAATCATGCATTTCTTGTTTGTTTCAAGTATAAATGCCTATAAATGCCATATAATAAACTTTTTATTAACCTCGCTTGCTCAGTCTTTACAGAGAAATATCGGACCTCTGTCTTTTTGTACAAACCTCTCTGTACAAAAAAGACCTCGGTCCGATATTTCTCTGTAAAGACCTCGCACTTGGTTAATAAGAAGTTAATATTATATTGTATTGTATTGTATATATTGTATTGTATTGTATTGTATTGTATTGTATTGTATTGTATTGTATTGTATTGTATTGTATTGTTAATTGTATTGTATTGTTAATTGTATTGTATTGTATTGTATTGTATTGTATTGTATAATAAAGCCAATCAGTCAAATTAATTTCTATTAATTAAATTAATCTCTATTACTCTACTTCTTAAAGTTTGCCAATGACATCAAGAAAAGTGAGGAAGGTTTAAAAGCAAGCAAACTAAAGAAAGTGGAATTTTGTGTTTCCACACAAAACTTGATTCTGACAGATGCAAAATCAAAAGTATGTTCCAATTATTTTTATCCTTTTACTGAAACCAAATACAAAACTACAGAAAATTTTAATATGTATGGAATTAGCATGTATCCAAATATTTCCGAACCTGCCACACCCCAACCTCGTTCCCAGGGTGAACGAGGTTGCCCACACCCATCTGATTTGCTTCAAAAGCGGATTCCCCAATTCGATACAGATGACTGGCTTTTTGCGCCCGGAGCAGAATTTTTCTTTGTCTTGTGATTTCTCGAGTGGAGACAAAGAAAAAATCCGCTCCGCATGCAAAATCCCGCCTAGTGGAAAACCGGCTTAACTAATGTATTTTGTGAAATCCAAAATTCATTTTATGGGGATGAGGAATAAACATAAAGGTTACATTTAGATGAAAGCTAATTGCTTAAAGAATATTACCAAGATAAATGTATGGTCACTTCTACACATGCACTGTGCACAAACATTTAAGTCACAGAATGATTACCCAGTAGCAGACCTGTTCTCATGGCTAGCTTTCTGACCATGCTATGCAATTTTTTAATGATTTGCATTATTCAAACCTAATTAGAAATGTATTGTCTTTATTACTTTAACCTATTTGGATGCAAGTTTATTAGCATAGCATGACAAGTTGCCATGGCTAGCTTTGCCACTGTAGAACATGCAGATGTGCTACTGTTGTTTGTAGCATGCTTTAATATGTTACTGCTAATGTTATTTGAATAGCTCAATGAAAGTTGTGCAAAAATGAAATGGGCACAAAGAACAAATTTTACAGAAGGTGTGCAAAAACAAGTACAAAATTTAAAGGGACTTGGATCATAATCAAATAAGATAATAGTTAAACAGTAGTCATTGTTTTAAGTACATTATTCTATTTTGTTTTTGTTAGACAACTCTGTACAGCTTTCCATTGCAACGGGTGTCGTACTGTGCTGATGATAAGACTAGCAAGAAGTTGTTTGGTTTCATTGCCAGAGATAAAGAATCTTCACAACACCAATGCTACATCCTTGAGTGTGAGAAGAATGTAAGTTGATACAAACACTACTTTTTCTCTTCGTTAAAACTATTACTGTACACCATAGACAATCCAGAAGACAGTCTTCTGGATTGTCTATGTGTACACATAACAACGTTTTTGACTTGTACATGTACATGTACAGATTTATAAAGCCTTAAAGCCGACTGGAAAAACCAGGAAACATTGTTGCTAAAACATTTGAGAATTCAGATGTTTTTTCAAGTATTTCCCTGTTTGCCCTGACCCTCGAAAGCATTGTTGTGGAAACACTTTGTTTTTCAAGTTCAATTGACATCTCGTAAACATCGTTTTCTTCAACCTGAACATGACATTGCCACTGTTTGTTGTAAGTGACCAATTTACTCATAAGGAATTGCGTGAAAGATTTCCAAGTTTAATCTCGAATGGTCGGTGCCAGTTTAGGTACCAATTTTTGCTGATGTCAGCAATTTTACCCGTAATTTCTACCCGTTTCCCCGCGGTAAACCGTGGTGTACACGTAAAAGACAAACGGGTACGGGTGTTTTCTGTTCACTAGTTTTGGGCTGTTTAAATAGTACAAATTTTCAACTTCTTACCCAAATAAATAATGCACATATGCTGGTCAAAGTATTCAACAATTTATGGCGAACCTCAACAGCGAAAGTTGCCATTCTCTGATCGGTTTTCTCACGCCGGAGTATCTTGGATTTCTTAAGTTACAAGTTATTCCCCAATTTACGGGTACTGGTACGTGTATATCACCCGTACCCGTAAACCGGAATCGGGGTATCTTAACCTCTCTAATTACTGCTAGTGAATTGTATTGTGTGTACTGTATGTAATTTTTGTAGGCTGAGGAATTAACCTTGGCTGTTGGGCAGGCATTTGACTTAGCATACAAGCGGTACAAAGCAAATCAGACTGGGCCTGGGAAAGATGTTAATCAAATGAAACAACGAGTGGAATCAGCAGAGAAGGAGAACGAAGCATTAAGAAAGAAACTTGAAGAAATGGAGAAAAATCAAAAGCAAGATGAAAATACTCCCCCACCATTGGCATCTGTAGCTGCTGCTCCTGTTAGTCAGGTATGTAGCAGGTTTTCTTTCTCCGTATACTGTACTGTGTTTCCATTAGTCAATATATCGTTGATATACAACATGCTGTTACATGCTTTCCTTCTTTTAGTAAAATTGTACTCATTGAGCCTCATGGTCTGGTTTCCTTTTACCACCTTCTCTTGTTTTATTGTTAGACTATAGAACTGGTTTTCTAAAGATATCCCCCAGAGGCCGGTTGATCTAAAGCCAGTTTGCTTAATCCTAGCTTAACAAAAACTTCAATAGCTAGTTTACAAACACGGAAATATTTTCCGAGAAATCTTGTGTGGACGAAAACATAGCTATTGGTTTGCTCTAGCAAAATACAATACACACGTGACGATGAACCGACCATTTTTAGCATAAACCAAGACACAAACATAGATAATGAGGTTTATTATGTCTGCATCGAATTCCCCAACCTTATTCTATTGACTATGTATAGTCTTGTTAGTGTAATATATTTTTGTGATCCCGTTGTTGCAGAACAATATGCAGGAAAGTATGGCGCAACCACCAGCACAGCATACATTTGATCCGTTTGGTGAGAGTGCCGCACCAGCATTTCAATCTTCGTCTTTTGACATCCAAAGTCCCCCACCTTTCCCTGCTGATTCTAGACCCTTTCCCCCTGGTGTTGGAGCCAACCCCTTCGCAATCCCAGGACCACCAGAAGCTCAAGCTGCATCGAACAACAATCATGCAGGCGGTGATCTACTTGATATATTTGGCGGTGAACCACAAATTTCAAGCGCGCCAAGTCAGGAAGATGATATATTTGATCCATTAGCTCAAATCAATGGTACAGCTCAGGAACTACCACCACAACAACCAAACTTTTCATCATTTGATCAGCCACAAGCTCCAGCACAAGCACATTTTTCGTCATTCGAGCAAGCACCGCCCCAGCAAAGTGAAAACCTTGTAACATCCGTATCTCGACCAAAGCCAGCGTCGGTAGCTGCAGGATTGTTACCACCTCCTCCAACCAAGCAAAGTATCAAGGAAAGAAATAGAAATTCAAACATTGCAGGTATGCTGTTATAATGCTTATACAGTCCTCAACTACAGATGAAAATTTCATTATAAAATTATTGTTGTCTTTGCAATTCTCCCATGAAAGAGAGAATTGCTCCTGAAGTCATGGATGCAATGGAACGTAGTTAATAGAAAACAATATGAATGGAAAGAGTCGCTAATTTAACGCTCTGCCGAAAGGTGAGGGTGTTTTCGGGTTACTCTGGTTTTCCCTCACAGGAATGTCTACAGGATTGGTGAGGATATACATTGCAGCAGATTCACGATCACACCAGCATTCGTTGTACTTACTGTAGATAAAAACACCGTATTAGTTTGGGAATAAAGGTTTTTAGGTTTTCAACTGTTTCTTTTGTGTTTAGCTGACGAAACAAACGGCGTGCCTGTTTATCATGGATCAAACATGCAAGCTGATTCGCAAGCAGTACAAGAAGTGCAGGTAAGTTATAGGGAAATCATCTGTATTTAATAATAGTTAATGGAATGATTTGGAAACTGTATGCAGGGCTGTCGCTGCCCCAAAAATATGTGTCGACAAAATCCTTCACGGCCCTGACTGTATGGAATCATAATGTAGCACATTACCCATGTTTTGTCCGGCTTTATGCAAAACATTGTCAACAGTAAATTTAGATCATAAAATATTTAACTCTATTCTGTCATTAAGACATTGCACTTGTAAAAATCGAACATATGAGATATTTCGCGGCCACGACTGAAAAATCGATTTTGCTCAAATTTTGCCCAGATATACCTTATTATATCGGAAAATGCACCATATATTTTTTAAGGTCAAATTCTTTTTTAACTTTGAGAAAATGCCGTTTTAACACGACCACCCTAAATCGCCATTTTTGGGGGGAAAATATGCGCTGATTTTACAGATAAATTTCACGACGACAACCGTTTCTAATCGATCTAAAACCCTAAAAATCTTGTTTCCGGTTATTCAAAGGACTGTGTACATGATTTACAGGAAATCTGAGTTACTTTTAGGAATAGAAATTATCGTAGTTTTGGAGCACACTATCTTACTTCATTTACGATACCCTCTTAACAAAACCGATTTTCACCATGCGATAAAGCCCCAAATCGATCATGCTTCTACTAGTTGGCTCTTTAATAAGCAAGCTTTCAATTGACGTAAATACTTCTTTTGGCAAATGAATACGCGATAAACGACAGCGCGTTGAAATCGTCCGTTTTTGACGTCTTGCAAGTCAAACGCTGTTAATTTACATACCGTCGAAGTAAACAACTTAATCAAGTATTTTAAGTATTTTACCTTTTGAGAAGAAGATATATTCTTGAATGGAGACTTTTTGCCTTGCTTAGTTTAAAATTGGTCCAAAAATCCCGAGATATTTGTAAAATATCATCATATACAGGTATTTTGAAATATAATATTGTTGTCAGTTGCATGACAACTTCAGATCATTGTTCAATATTGTCTACTTTTATTAATTGCGCAAACATACAAATCGATGAGCTCTTTAGGGATTTTATATTTTTTACTAAATTTCCCAAAATTAGAACTTCAATTGACAATTGTTGTTTTGTTCCAGTTTGCATTGATCCATATAATGTACCATTTAGTATTTACATATCGACTATTGAGTATAAATGTTTACGAATACATAAGTTAATTATTAAGCAGCTGTTAATAGCGTGCGTGTGAAATGAACATTTATCCATACAAGGATTTGTTATTTTATTATATATTGTACCACCTCAAACTCAAATTATAGGCATATAGCAAATACTGTAGTTTAGAATAATGTGTGTTTACTTTGATGCACAGTTAAAATAATCAGTAAAATTACTTTATTTTGATACACTAATGTCTATTGATCTTATTATATTTCGCAAGTACTAGGACCCAAAAATACAGCATTGAGATATGTTGGCCAAGTGCGACACCACAAATTATTATTGTCTCCCCACACGTCGCGTTTAAAGAAAATGAAAGCTTGTTGCTCGTTTAACGCCGCATTAACCACGTGTCAAATACGGCAAATGCGGTGGGCCTCGCGCTTTACTGTGCTACGCCCATTTTTACGAGAACATGGCCATTTTCTATTGGGACACACCCATTTTAGGTGTCTCGCGAATTTAGGGACCTCGCGCATTAGGGCCCCTAGGCTTGGTAGTTCGCCCTAGCACGGCCCCGGGAAAATATGCAATACTCGTGTTCATATAATCTCTAGTTGCGTTGAGCTGTTATATTATGATCCTGTTTATACCCACCAACTGCGCCAGGCAGGCCATTATCTCGTTTATAATTGATGCAAATAAATTGCAATATTGAAAAAAATTATTTAACACTTTTGTGTGTCTTTAAATTCAATGGTTTTCATAAAAAGAAGAAAGGGGGAGGTTTGGGGGCCTCGCGATAAAATTTGCCCCGGGCCTCGCGCGACGTTAATCCGGCCCTGGTCACTTGTCGGTAGTTCTTGCGGTTTTAATGCCAATTGACAAAGATCAAAAGAGAGCACTGATGACTCCCCCCATCGGAGAAATACTGGCGCAGCCCAAAGCTCAGTGAAATATGGGACCCCAGGGCCAATTATACCCTTGGGGCCCCGGTTAACCACAATTACCCCCCTCCGTCGACAAACTTTTTATCGCCTTGCAAATTTGTATTTGCCTGTCTCCTTGAGCTGGGGTCGCGGAGAAAATTGCTCCCTTTGCCGCCTCCCTGCATGGGCGGCCCTGGCGTCGCCCTTGTCTTATCATAACTATCTACCCTAATTCAAGCTGATTGGCGCGGTTCGATGAATTAATTGCCGCTTTCAAACAGAGGTTTATTATTTTAAACCTCTAGAACCAGGGTACCTTTTGTCACTCTGAGGCCAGCGAAATAACCTCTTCCGCAACATGCACGTACGCGTCTACTATCGTCAAGAAACAATCAATACCGTTGTGGTCTGTGGGATTTTAATTCAATAGTATAAACCTTGCAGTTTTAGGGAAGCCTCACATATCGATTTTTTCCACAAGAAACGTCATATGTTCGTTTTGGGGGTGGGGGAGGGGGTTTACAGCTGTGACGTTTCTCTGTAAATATCATGGGAAAATTCGATAGTTTTTTCGAATACCTTAACATTTCGGAATCAACTTTGCAGAGTATAAAAAAGAAAA